ATAAAATGGTTAATTTCATTGGTCACATATTTTCACATTTGTTGGTCACAGATTATTTTTCAGTCACACATTGTCAACTTTTTAGGTCACGGTTAAATACTTGGTCACAGATAATCAAATATTTGGTCATATACAAATGACACTACTATATCAGCCACTTTTGACCACCCTCAACCCGCCGTCGCCATCACCACCACGGCCACCAACATCACTGCCGTCGACCAGCACCGCAAAACATTACCACCACAGATCCTTACAAGTTTATCGCCACCGCACAAACAAAAACTAACCAACCGCAGAACACACGACTGGACGAATTAATTGGTTACATATCAACCAACTAATTGGTCACAAATACTCTCCTTCAACTCCGCCGCAACACCACCACAACCACCGGCACAACAATACCAAAAAGCGACAACCACCACCAACACCGAGTTTTTTACCACCGCAAAATTGCAGCTGCGAAATCCACCAGATGCTGCTGCGAATCGGAGCAGTGTTGATTCGCAGCAAAGTGAGGAAGGGGGAGAGAGAGAGAGAGAGAGAGGGAGGGAGGGAGGCACCAACACCGAGCTTTTTACCACCACAAAATCGCAACTTCGAAATCCACCAGACGCTGCAGCGAAAACCACCGAGAAACCCACTAGACGATGCTGCAATTTGCAACAGCGTCTTCTCGACCGTCACTGCGATTTACAACAGCATCGACGTTGCTGTGATTCGTAGCAGAGCGAGGGAGAGGGAGAGGGACGGGCGGCATACGGTGGAGGCGGCGACGGTGAGAGTGGGAAGAGAAATGGTTAGAGAGTTGATTTAGAGTTTTAAAATGAATTTGGTGGGGGTAAATAGTAGGGTGAGTATATAAGTTAATTTAATTTTATAATATTATTATTAATAGTAATTGTAAAATTAAAACTTAATTTTTGATTAAATAAAGTCATAACCTGATTTTTAAAAACTGATCTTGAAATAACTGTTTTTTGTAATTTCCTCAATTTTTTATGTGGTGGGCCCAATTTCTACCTTTAATAATGGGCCGAAAGGATCAATCCGAAAATTTTGTGGTCTTGCAGAGTGGGCTCAATGCCTATTGAAGCCCATGCATATTCTTACTACAACTCATTACAATTGTGTTTGCGGCCTATTCGTTTTGGGTTAATTACGCGTTTATGGAAACATTTGGGATCCAATTTCAAAAATCAAGTAAATGAAAAAGTAATTAAAAAATTAGGACTCATTTCAATTTTTTTTTTTTGGTTGGTAATTTTTTTAATGCGTATCTGCGTAAGTTTGTCCATTGGTACCAGAATTCAATTAAAATTTTTTTTGATCTTGAATTCGAATGAAAAAAAATCGTGAAAGGTAAAATGTATACATGCTCTCTCAAAGCAAACAACACTAGGGTTGTAAATGGATCGGATCTGCCTATATCCGATCGATAAGAAAATTATCAGATCTAATAATCTGACGGATATTTAATTATTAAATCCATATCTGATTTGCTATGTTATCGGATATTCGATCTGATAATCCGATCCGAAATTAATAAAATTTAGGAAAAAAATCAACGTTCTTTAAAAAATTTTGAACTAACTTGAGATCCACTTATTTTTACTAGCAAGTCCAATAGTGACTTCTAGCCATTATGATGTTTTTTTTTTAAATGAGAGATCATCTTCTATTTTTTATTGACATTCAATGTGTGGTAAGGTAAAATTGAATTTTAATTCTAAATTTAGATATTTTATTTCAATATTTCCATTAACAAATCAAATTATTTGTTATATATTAATTATTAGTTTTTGAAGTTGTAAAATCTATTTTTTTATAATATTTTACATTTATGTGTATATTTATTTATTCAATTTGATAACCGGTTCGATACCGATTCGATCTCAATTCGATTTTTTAACCCTTGACTCTCTTCCTTTTCCGGGTTAATGCTTGGGTATATTTTTAAAATATTGGTTGAAATCAATTTTTTTTTATTTCAAAATTTTCAATTGTTAAACATGTTTAATAATTATAAATTTTTCAATTTTTTATATTTTGAATTTGATTACTTTTTTATTCTAAATTTATTTTAGTGACAAATAATATGTCATAAAAATATTTTACCGACTTAATTATTTATATCAAATCGGATCGGATTGGCATATATCCATATTTGATCCATTTAATTATCGGATTCGGATCTTAATCAGATTATCAGATTGAGACCCTAAATCCATCTCCCATTAATTTCGTCGGATTTGGACGGGATTCAGATCAAAATCCAATCAATTGACAGCCCTAAACAACATAAACGAGTTAACGATTTCAACACATACCGGAGTTGTCTAGTTACAATTCCTAATAAATTACATATTTTCGAGCAACGTGCCCTTTTTAAAATATAAGCAATAACTTTTAGGGAAAAATTCACAACTCAAACTTTATATATCCCAAAATCAAAAATCAGGCCCCAAAATTTAGAATTTCAAAAATCAGATTTTTCATGAATTAATTAATAATATTTCACAATTATTATATTAAATTTAATATTTAACTGTAATATAATATAATTACCTCACCCCACCTCCCTTTCCGGCAACTACTCTTGTGACCGGCAAGCACTCCGACAACTGTTCTCCAGTCAAAGATCAAAAATTTGGTAGGTCACAGATTATTTCGAGATCACAGATCTAAAATTTTTAGATCACAATTTTTTTATCGGTCACAGATCAAAAATTTTGTAGGTCACTGATTATTTCGAGGTCACTGATTGACCAAATAGATGGTCACAGATCGATCAGATCACTGGTTACATATCAACCAAAAAAATTTATTTGTCACGGGCAACAGATCGACCAAATAGATGGTCACAAACATTTCGACCCATCCGCTGCACCTGTCCCCCAATCCCACCAACAATAACACCAACAACCACCACCACCCAAACCACCGCCGTCGTCGTCGTCGCGCATTATCAACAACGTCGCCCCCATCACAACACCACCACAAACACAATAATAAAAAAAAACCATCATCGTCAACGCCTGCACCACAACACCAAGAAACCCACCACCACCACCGTCGACCCCGCCAAAACATGACCACAACCATTGCCACAATAATAATAAAAAACGACCACCACCACACGGGCCCCACACACAGAGGTCCACCACACGGATTCCCTCTGCCACACATAGAGATCTGCCCCGCCACAGACCCACACACATCTAGCTCAGCTTCATCCAATTTCAGTCCTTGGTGTCTTCTGTAGCTGCTTCCCCACAGCCATTGGTGTCTTCTGCAGCTGCTTCTCTATAGCCACACAGCGTCGCTGCTGCCGACAGGGAAGAGGGAGATGGAGAAGGGAGAAGGGGAGGAGGCAACAGGGATGGAGGGGGAGGGAAAGGGAAAGGGGGAGAGAGAGAGAGAGAGAGATAGACGATGTGTGGTGTGGTGACCTGATAAATGAAAAAAAAAGGTGAAAATCTGATTTTTAAAAAGGCCAAACTTAAGACCTGATTTGGTGTAATTTCCTCTAACTTTTTAAGTGATAAGTAAAGCCCAAAATTGTACTTTTGACCCTGTCCATTTCTCCAAACAAAGCCCAAAGTTCACAAAACATGAATGTGAATTGTTCCGTGGATAAGATTGATAAGGCAACTAACTGGATAATTTCTTCGTCACGAACAGGAATTTCAATTTCCTTCTGTATTGAGCTTCACAAGCACAGCAATGGCTGGGGCAGTGATTCATAGCATATCGTGTAGCCTTCCCCGAATGTTCCAAAACCTGTCTATTGCCAGAACTCCAAGTGCCGCCAATGCCGCTTTCAGGCCCCTCAGCTTTTCCTCCGCCACTTCCTTCAACCCATTCTCCAAAGGTTAGGAAAAATATAGAAAACCCATTTTCAAGATTCCTTTTTTCGTTAACTTAGACTTGTGGGTTTTTTGATTAATTGTTTGATTTGGTGTAGGACTGGTCTTGATGAGCCCTGTTCAAGTGCCACTTCGGCGCTCTATCGTGTGTGAAGCCTCGCCTAATAAAAAGGCGGACTCGGCTGCTAAAAGGGCTCGCCAAGCCGAGAAGAGGCGCATTTACAACAAGGCGCGGAAATCTGAGATTAGGACTCGGATGAAGAAGGTTAGTTTGCTTTGTTTCAAGCTCAATTTGCGTAATCATGAATATTTACAGCATTCTGTTATTCAATTATCCAGTTACTCTTTGATCTTGGAGTCGTATAGATTTGTGTATCTCCATTGTGTTTACTTTTAGATAATGTGCTTTGCCTAGACAATTGAGCATGTTTGGCCAATATTATAAACTGCAAAAAGCATCTTATAATCTTATCTGAACAAGCTGAATGTTGCATTGTCGTCAGAATTTATCAAACGCATACATAAACTTGTGCTTGTAATATTGAAAGACGTGTAATTCAATTGAAATCTAAGTAAAGGAGACTAATCCGTAGATTGGGAGTCTAAGAGGTCTCCTGCACAAGCCTTACTATCGATTGCACTTCACAACTTGAGGACTTTGGGCCTTTTTTGAGGTTGAAATGGAAGAAAGTGGCCTTTTAAATTTATTTTTCAATTTTAACTTGAGGATATGTTTATTTTTTGTCCTATTTTGTTTTCTTATTATGGAACATCAACAAAAGTATTACTTGTGTTAATTAAGCTCTAGGCCTCTTGCAGCAGTGTATGTTCAATATGTTTAGTGCTGATTGCTGGTTTGATGACCTAAAGATCGTTGTTTGTCAACAGAGCCCCTCAATAATGAAATCCCTTGTCCATTTTTTTTTGGGGTGTTCAACGAAAATGTTTGTAACTTTGTATTGGATTGAAGAGGTAGGCAAAACATGCAGAAAATATGTACAAGGGCTAATTGTTGGTTTGATAACCAAAGGTATCATGATTTCTCAAAATAGCTGAGTGATAACAAATTGCTATGTCTCCCTCCCCGATGTACTCCAATTTTATCAAATCTTTGCCAAGTCCCCCCTCCCCCCCCCCCCCGGGCCCCGGACCCACAACTAGGCACTGGTGGGTTTTAGATAAAAAAGGAAATAAAAGAAGCAGATTCCTTTCCAGAGGTTTCACTTGTGTTTACCGTATTGAACGGTAAGAGAAGCCCTAAAAATTTATCACTATCAAAGCAGCATAAAACACTATTATGTAGTTAAGGTTTACAAATTGATGCAGTCTGTTGCACAGTACAAGTGTTCTGGTTGAAGGTTTAAATTGGAAATTGGGATGCTTCTTGAAAATGCACGACCTGCTGAATTAGAAATGATTGACTGAAATGTGAACAAGAAATTTAGATGAGATTCCTCTGCCAGGGAATAAGAATGAAAAATTACTTCTGTCTTGATTCATGTTGTGAAAGTGAAGTTACTTCACTATTTAGCATGACTTCCTTGCACAAATTGTACTTCTGAGGAAAACTTGAGATTTCTGCTGTTGGATCCACCAATACTTGCATAAAAATCACTGATGTTAAAATTTTGCATAACCATTTACTGCGCTACTCAAATTGCCCTAATTATATCCATATTTAGTGTCAATAAAACAACAATTTTCTGACAATTCTTACAGCCAAGGTAGTGAAGGAAGCAATATGGTACGTATGACAACTATGCTGTAAATTTGTGCTTATGCATGAAATTTTTGACTTGCTGATGTTCGAACAATGCATGTTGCATAGAGAAGCACGAGGAGAGATGCACAATGATTTTGTCTAGCAAAATGTCTATATTATTAATTTACAATTTATTTAGGAACCTCTGTTTTGTTGCATAATTGTTGATGTAGAAGTAATATGTTCTATATGTGTGACTTTTGTACACTTCTATGTTGTCAATAAACAGTTGATGACATTGAAATGCTATGAAATATGTTTGTTATTCTGGGTTAAAAGATGTTTTTGATAAATGACAACTACTATTTGTGAAATTCATTGCATTACTTAATTTGAGCAAGAGAAATATAGAACTTGGGTGCATAGGCTGGTAATTTTCCATGGTCTTGAGTTGTAAATTGTTCAATTTGGCTGTTTCTGCTCTGCAAATTCTTTTCTTGCATTATCAGGTTCTAGAAGCGCTTGATGTTCTTGGAAAGAAGCCCGAGTCACAACCTGAAGACATTCTTCCCGTTGAGACACTGATTGCAGAGGCGTATTCTGTCATTGATAAAGCTGTCAAAGTTGGAACACTTCATCGGAATACAGGAGCAAGGAGAAAGTCCCGACTTGCTAGAAGAAAGAAAGCCATTGAGATCCAGCGTGGTTGGTATACACCTGCACCAACTGCAGCTCCGGCTCCCACAGCATAATGTTAATCGTTTATATGATGTATATGTCTAGTCGATTCAGTTTATTATAATTCTTCCGGAGATTTTGATTGTGAGATGTTGCCTGTGTTTCCCGATATATCAGTGACAGTGGGGATCAAACGTTTTATGAATTATTTTTCCCAATATCACGTGTAGTGATGTGATGTTCAATAATGCGTACCAAATATTTTTTTCATAGTAATGCTATTTATCATTATAATGATGAAATATCGATGATGTGACAAGTTAGTTAGAATAATTGGATAGAGCAGTTTAATTTTCATGACAGGAAGGGGGGTTGAAATGTCAAATCTCATTATTCCACTTAAGTTGTTACATTATCGATATTCCATCATTATAATTATAAATACTATTATTCTTCATAAAATAGAGCATTGTAGTTTGCTCACCTATTTTGATGGCTAGACTGAAACTTTTGGAACAATTATAGGTGCTGCTTGTAAGGGTGATTTTTTATTTTTATTTTCTAAATGTCAAATCACAGATCGATACTTGTATTCTGTAAAAAATACTGTCAGTCTTTTGCACGTGTAGCATGATTCAAACTTATATAATGATTTCTTCCAACGGTTGGAATCTGGAATGCATAATGGGGAAAATATGGAACTCACTTGTGGTACTTCGGGATTGAACTTTTGTAATGGTGCCATGTTTGTCAAAGCTTATAATTACTTATAACTGTTGGATGTTAATAATGAATATGAGGTTAAAAAGTAAGTAAAAGTTGTAAATTTTATGAAACATCGAATAAAAATAGAGTTTAATTAACTTATAAGTAATTATAAACTTTGACGAAAGCTTAACAAGTTTGAACATGGATATCAACTTTGTCATTGTAGGGAGATTCGAAAGCGCAACATTTTTACCTAAATTGCCTTGTTTCGAGTCCATAAATTGTTATTATGGAGCAATCATAGTTATGAATTCTCAACTCGATCTGAATTGTTAGAAGAAATGGGGGTGCAAAGCGTCAAAACCTCATATAAGATTTTACTAGAATAATTAAATAATACTCCACGTCTTTAGTCAAGTTACAAATAATTGTACATACTTGATTGAATACGTGCATATTATAAATATGTTCCCACCATATAAATGCAAAATTTTCATCAATAATTGACAATTATAGTTGGGATTTTTTATTTTACGTACAGATGCCCCGTTACCTCTGTTTAATTTGCCATGAACGATAAAAATGTACTATGCATGTATTGTTCAATATGAAGCTCAATTTCTCTATCCGTTTTCATAAGTAGTATTTTTTTCAAGCAATTAATATTTTAGAAATATTACGCCATAGTTATAACACTAAAACCAGCTCTTAAACAAGCTTTAGGCGGCTCATTCATCTGGCCCCAAAGTAGAACCACTTTTGATTCTGCAATATTTTCTTCATTAATCAATCCATAAATTTCATTTACATGTAAAAATCATTTCCTTCACGAGTATGTTCACGACTCCGCCAACAGAGTCCAACAAAAGATAAGAATAAAATTGAAGTGGGAAAGGAATAAGGAAGGAGTAAAGGGACTAGGGGGGTAAAAGAGAAATATAAGGTAAATAAAGGGCATATATACAAATATGTCATCTATAGAGGGTCCAATCCAATCGGTTCCATACATTGCATATTCCTTAAGCAGAAAAGAGGGATTTTTTTTCTCCCAATTCGTTCTACTAATCTATGTTTTCTCAATCTTTCGTTTTCAGTAACCATTAATTTGTTTCTTTCTGTTTGTATTTGTTTCGTTCATCAACTATTCAATTTCAGGTTGAAGAAAAAGACGGGAAGATGAAGAAGAAGGGCGACAAGAATCAAAACGTAATGGGAGGCACCGGTTCTTCCTCTAAACGAAAATCTTCTAAGAAGAAAAGCTCCAAGAAGTACTCTCAGGTTCGTTTGTGTACCGTGGTTTTCGTATTTGTATACAGATTATCTGATTAGGTTAATTCAAAGGTTTGATTTTGTATTTCGTTTTTATGCATATTTTTTTGGGTTTCTTAGATCAATAGTGCATGGTCTTTTCGATTTTCTTATGCGTATTTTGAAAATTGAAAAACCCAAATTTAAAGATTACAAGTAATTGTGTTAAACCCTACTATCATTCGAATTTTCCTTCATTTTATTGGGAAACAAGCAATACATTGAGCTTTTCTTGGGATGAATTCGCCTAAATCCAATTTTAGAAATGTTGAATTGTTATTTAATTTTCCCATCTTTATGTGAATGCACCTGTTATGGGGACAGGTTTCACGGAAGAAGACGATTAGGAGAAATGAATCCAAGAAGCGTGGCCGTCGACATGATTCGGACGATAATTCAATAAATTCGGCTAGCATTTCAGCCTCCTCTTCAGAATATGGTTATAAGAGCAAAAAAAGTAAATATAAAAAGAGTCGACGCGATTATTCAATTTCTTCTGATGATAATTCTATGAGTGCTGCTTCTGATTCCCTGTCCAGTTTGCACAATGATTATAGGAGTAGGAAAGCGAAATCTGGCTCACAGCTTAGAAGGAAAAGAGCCCGTGAAAGATCTATCAGTCCTGATAGAAATAAGAATTCACATGATGTTAAAAAAAGAAAAATATCAAAAAGAAGCCATGATGTTAAGCCTAAGAAGAAATCCTTAAAGAAGTCCAAAAAACACATGAGGGTGAGTTCTTCAAGCTCTGATTCACAGAGCTTCTCCACATACCGAAGTAGAAGTAGTGACAGGACTACGGAGATAGGAAACGCAAAAGTAATGTTTGATAAGGAAATAGAAAGAGCTAGCGGTAGGGATGCAGTTAAGGTTCACAGAAAATGCAGAGTTAGATCTCCTAGTTATTCTTCGTGTAGTCGGGATAATGACCATAGTGTTAGTCAAACTGAGGTAATGGCAACTGCAAATAATTCTAGGCGTCTAAGATCAGTTATTGTTGTTGTGGAACAACCTCATGACAAAGAGGAAAACAAATGGGGGCCAGATCCGAATAAAGAAGAGATCGTGTACAATGATTTCCCTTCTCCTAGAAGCATTGAAAGTGATGATGTGGGGCATAAAGGGGAGTCGGATTATGATTCTCCTGGTGAATCCAATAAGAAGAGTCGACTAGGAACTGTTAAAGGAGAAGAAGTAACGGAACGCTCATTCACTGTAATCGAGGGGAGTGGTCAAAAAAATAATACTGTGGATACTAAGTCAAATGAGGTTGATTCAAATACTTTTGAGAAGAAAAGAATAACTGACGTTTCTGTTTCTGTGACTGATCTAGGTGGGGATGATCAAGAGTCAATTCTGAGGCAAAAAGCTTTGGAAAATTTGAGGAAGTACCGAGGGGGGCTTCAAACATGTACTACTAATCAGAAAATTGATAATGAGAGTGATGTTAATAATTTTTCCAGTGCAGTGGCTAATATTATTCAGAACAAATCAACTAAGCAGGATAGCTCTAATGTTGTTTGTCTTACTCGAGAAACGGATCATAGTAGTACGCCCACATTAAAAAGGAATTTATCTCATCACAAAGAGATTAAAAAAGATATAACAGGTAATGAAGATGTTGGGAAAAAACCTAGCACNAGAGAAAAAAGATTATATTATGAATTATCGAGAATGTTCACCTGCCCGCGGCGGGCAATCTTATCCTGACCAACTGCTGATGTGGCAGGAGAACCATACGTGGGGTTCTATCCAAATGTGAGAACCCCACGTTGGGTTCTCTTCGAGTGGACAGGATAAGATTGCCCGTCGCGGGCAGGAGAACGGGACTGATTATCGAGAATGTTCTCCTGCCTGCGGCGAGCAATCTTATATATTAAGATTAAGATTAATAACGTTGTATAGATAATATGATAATATAATTATAAAATAAATAGTCATCGTATAGACGTATTACCTTTTTGTCAATTAGGATGAGTAAAATATCAAGATTTTCAGCATTGTTGGAATAAGATTTGACTAAACCCTTTCGAATTACCATCACTATAATGGACCATTCATTTCCATACACTAATAAGTTTTTTTATAGCCTTTGATTCCATGATGCGGAAGAGCAAAATATTTGATGATTGGAATGAAATAACAACTCATTTGTGATAATAATTTAAATAGTTGAGAGATTAATTCAATTATGTCTAACACTCATGAGAACAATTAAACACATTCACGAACATGGAATTTGATTTATTTGAATTAATAAATATAGAAAAATAATAATTTATATACACGTGATCTTGAAAATTAATTTAGACAAAAGGGTGTGTAAGTGAACTTGGAGAATAAATTTATATCATAGATTGAATGAATAATCTTGAAAATAAATAAGTGTACATGAATTTGAATAATTTATTTGCTCTTAGATTAATTGAAAAGTTCCCAAAACATATAAAGTGTACATGAACTTGAATAATTAATTTGCACCATTTTGATCTAAATATGAGATAAATGCTAATAACTGAAAATAAATGTTAATTATTATACACGATGTAAATAGTGAAATGCATAATTGAATGTTAAATACATATCGAAAAATAAAAAGTAAGGTATTATTGAAATAGTTGAATTGTAGTAGGACTAAAATCGTCCAAAAAATGATTCTTACTTGATGCGATATTTTATTTATTATAGATAAAAATAAAAAAGAGAGGAAAAATAGAAAGTCTCTGATAGGCCCTTATTTTTTAAAACTCATTTTTCCTTAAAATAATTTACAATCATACATTTCATAGGGCTAACCATTTTTATTTGATTTTCAATCACACATTTCATTATTTTTTTTTTTTATCAAAATCTATTAAAACATGATTTTTAGCTAAACCAATAAATTACAAGGCCAAACTATAAAATTTAAGCTCGCTATTTATTTTTTTGAAATAGTTAAGAAAAAGATCTTCATAAATCATTATTTCCCTAAACAGCTAATTGAAGCCGACTAGCACGTAATTTGTTGAAGTATAAATTGAATGTAAAAATAATATCTTGAATAAAACACCTAAATGTTTCAATTAGTTTCAAGCAATTTTTAATTATCAAAACCTATATCGATCATTTCCAAATTTATTATGATTTTGCACTGAAACGTTGATGGGTTCACATGAATCCAAACCAACAATTTCAAAATCGTGATTTCGATTCAGTTTGACGGCTTAACAATTATTTTTGTTCTTCAACATATATTTGTTCATTACAAAAATTTAGGCTAACTTCTCTTATTACCTCATTTAGCACTATTTTCTAAAAATTCATTTTCAATCATACATTTCAATAAAATAATTTTACATGTAAACCTAAATTTTTACTTATTTTTAAATACAATTTTTTTTTTAAAAATCACTATTACAAAATCTATTTTCCCAAAAAATATAGCTTAAACCCGTCTACATTTATTTTGTTGGGCTTTGTGACTAGAAAATAGCCCATTTGATTTTTTGATGTTTAAAATCTTTTTATAAGTAAAAAAATTTTATACGTGGATTTTTTTTTTCCATATTAGTTTGACTTAAAAACTACTCCCTCTGTCCAATTTATATAGACTTGTTTTTTCTTCACACGAATTAAAAAATCTTATTTAATGTTATTTAAAAATCAATTTTTGTCAAAAACTTTCCTAATTTACCATCATTTAATTATCATTAACTAGTAGTAAATTATTATTAGAAGTAGTAAAGAAATAAGGGTATATTAGTAAACGAATAAAACAAAATATTCTTAATAAAAAAAGAATATATAATTGGGACAAAAAAATAAATAAATAAAGTAAGTAAGCCTATATAAATGAGACAAATTGAGTATTTTAGTTCGTGAATTCGCCTCCGCAGTTAACCAATACAGGAGAGGGTTTAATTGTGTGAAAGTAGAATGCCAGCCAAGGATGTTTGGAGTTAAGAGTATTTTAGACGAGTTATGCTACATATACAAATTTATGTTACAAAGTTGGTTAACAAAATAACATCTATATCAATCATTTTAAAAACAAATTTTTAAATCATTTGAAATAATCGATCTAAATTTTGCCAACACACTTTGTAACCCAACTTTTGTAACTCAACTTTGTACGAATGACTTTATTTTCGAAATTTTGGCTGCCTTAAGATTGAGAATTTAACATCTATGGATTTAGTTGTAGGCCATACGCATCCTTAAACAATGTCATAGGCGACAACTCATGAAATTTTAATAATGTTCAATCCAACCTACCAAATGAGATAACGACTTTATAAAGTTTTTGTTCACAAAGATTTTTAGTAAAAGAAAACGACTAGCTATTTTTTACTAAAATAAATTAAATTCATAGCAAATAATAATAATAAACAACCTCCACCTCAATTTTTTATATAAAAAAATAAATTGAATCCTCACATAGACAAATCAAATTAGCAAAACTGAATGTACACCAACTTTCTGAACTAGAGGAGGAAAAGAACAGAGAGAACTATGTGACCAAGAAATGACTGGGAATGTAAATTACAGTTTCTTTAAATGATATTTACATTAATTCAATTTAAATTCTGAAAACAAGAACACAAATTATAACTCAAAAATATTTATCTAACCTCATGGTTCAAGTATTTAGATCTCGGGAAGCTTGGCCTTGCCATCTGCATTTGTAAGCAAGACAGGTAGTGGCTTAGCCAAGCAGAAATATGGAACAAACCGCAGTGTTTTATATCGATACATTATACAACGGGATAATAAGCATGTTTATTGTGCTAAGAAGGAAGTCAAAACTTATTTCGCCAAACATAATTCTAAAAGTTACCGCCTTTACTAACAAAACTTGAGGCGGCGTTTTTGAGACTAAGAAGCTACTTTTATGCCTGTTTAGATAATTTTCTTTGGAAGTGCTTTATTTGATTACAAGAGCTTTTACAGGAAGCTAGCTCTTCTACAAAAAGCAAACGCTATCCCAAATAGGCCCCTACTTTTCCAAAAAGTTAGCCTTAGTTTATTATTTCAAGAAAGTAACTTTTAAACACAACAAAACATGCTCTAGATGTCTAATCAGGTACTTGTTGGGTCTAATTCAGGCACACCACATAGTTATGTTACAAAATAAATAATGGTCAGCAGCTTTATTACGAACCTTGAGAGCAAGAACCTTGCAAGTGGGCTCATATTGGCATTTGAATGAAGCTCCTTATTTTGTTGCTTTTTCTTGCTATCGGTTTCCGCATTTGTAGTTGGTATTTCATTCTTGCCCTTTGCAAAGATGCGGGATGCGAGCTCCTGCAGGTCCTTCAATGACGTTTCGTTTGAACTGCATATTTTAAGTTTCGTGTCGGAAGTGCATGCTAAATGCCATTTTACAGTAACACTGAGTTGAATAACAGAAAATTAAAATATAATATAAATGGTAAACCTTGCCAGTCGCTGAAGCAACCCAGTGACAAGTAGTTCAGACGACCTGGGCTTGGAACATTCCATATCGATTAAAGAGTTTGCCACTGTCTGGAAAACTGACCCTCTTGAATCATCAGCAATCACCTGCAATGGAGAGTTAGAACATTAAAATCAAGTTGAATAATAATATACTGTGCATTTGGGACACTAACCCGGAAAGGTGCTTGGTAACTACTATTAGTTCATTGGTAAACTAGCATATTTTGCTCGAGAAAATTTTCTTCTCTCAATACAACATAAACAAAGAGTCAAGAGGATGTATAGAAATTGGATGGTCACAACCTTTAAAGCTAAAATCTATCTTGGCCAACAAAATAAGTTCAAAACATTAAAATATGTAGAAAACAAGAGTTTGAGGTCACGATGTACAAGGAAGTTTTTCAAAACTTCTCAGTACAAAAGAGGCAAATCTAAAATATCCATGAGCGTGGCTCCAAAAATCAAGAGAATCCTAACTGGCAAAGGAACCACTTCGTCAACATCAAATTGAAAGGAAGCCATAAACAAGGACATTATAAGGTAATTCAATGCCAGTATTTACAATTTTACTCAACCATAGATATTTTTAAGATAATTGTAGTGCATCTATCCACTTAATAATATGACTTGTGTTCAAAACCATTTACATCAAGTGGAAATGCTATACCTTATTAGAAGCATACAAAGTATCTCCAGCACTATAATACTCCCAAACCCTTCAAGACTTCATTTTCAAAAATTGATATATAATACAAATGCAGAGTCCACACTCAAAAAGCAGCAATTCTTTCATCTGATTTGATAGAGGCCTCAATCAGCTTGCAAGAAAACATTTCTAACAGAATTTGTTTTATGTACGCTGTGCTAAAACAGCACAATTTTACTGTGTCAATAAGTTTTTATTCCACGGCTCTTTGTAACTGTACAACACTTCAGCTCTAATCAGGGGCCGAGCCAAGATTAATCAATTGCGGGGCTTGGTACGAGAGAAATGAAAAGACAAAAATAGGGGCACAGCGAGCCTTACCATTAAATTTGCATATTTAATGCAATACATAAACTTAAAATAAAATTAGTAAACACATTTTAAGTAGCCATATCTGTCTAGCTACTTTTAAGTCCACCATTCAACGTTTCATATAGTTGGTCACAAGTTCTTCGAAACGATACTAAGAACTACCCAATGATTGAGAAATATAGCCCGAAAATAAGCCAAAAGATGCGACGGCCACGAATTGGATTTATTAAACGCACATTTTTTAACTCACTATTGCGACATCATCATTTAGTGATGTTACAAACTGAAATGTGATTTACAAAGTACGCCATGAGTACTTCAAAACAGTATCAAAAACATTTTC